TTTTAGTTTGTCTATGGAGACCTGGCCATTAATTTATTGCATTCTCCTCCAGACTTGCTTTTCTAGATTTTTGCGCAAGTCATAGGAAATGTTGTTTGGAGCTGTGACATGCAGGAAAGCCAAATGCAGGGTTATATTACTCACTCTGTTCTTTGATGTAAAACTTAGCTCTTTTTAAATGTAAAAATGACTGTAATATCACATTTAGGGATATATTCTCAAACACTCCAAATATACTTGGGCCCAAACTGGCTGGATTCTGGTGCTAGTTCCTGAGCCTCTCTGTGACAGAGAAAAGGGTCATTGCAAATTGTTAAAAATGACCCAGCATTGGTTCAGCTGCAATTCTCATTTTTCTTCCCTCTGCTGGCTTTATTGCAAATTACCTAACAAGCCCTAGAAGCAAAGCTTCCGTAATTTTTTACAAGTGCAAATGGAGCAAATGGAAAGGCTGAATCTGGTGATTGTCCTTGGTAAGCTTCCCTGGAAATCATTCCAAGAATTCTACACTCCTTTCCTTTTAAATTCTTTTCTTGAACATGTTCCAGTCCTTCACATATGTTCTTTCTCTCTCCTCCTAATTCTGGTGCCAAGGTTCCCTGTCTATCTTCTTAGGCGATCTGGCTACTACTTTTCTCAGGGAGGAACACCTTCCTTTGCACTGAGTAACTAACTGAGCATCTGAATAAACTTTTCAAACACGGCAGCAAGGGGCACAAATTTGATAAAAACCAGGTTAAGATCAAGCACTGACTGAAGGTGAGAGTAAGCAAGGTTAAATTACTTAAGACTGGCTACATTTTTGAAGTGGAACAAATGGAATCTACTACACCAAACCTCATTGTTCTACTTAATAAACATGTCTGACAGTGATGGCAGTGCTGTGTTAGCAGATCGGGATACTGAAATGGAGGCTTTGGGGAACACAGACTTCTGTATTTATAAGGCATGTTAGTGAAAACCTACACATATACACAATTGAGGGCAGGAAGAACAGAAAGAGAAGAAACAGGAGATGAGTCTTTTCTGTGTCTTAAACCAAAATGAATCAAATGCTGAAATATTCATCTGGTTGAAAGAAAGGCCAAGCTGAGGAAATCTACATTTTAGATTTATCTACATTTTAAAAAGCTTGATATTCTGGATATTTGTGTTAGCATATCTGAATTTTTCTGCAAATTATGAAATCCCATAACTTGTGGAATCAGGGACTGAAAATAAAAAGATCAAGTAACACACTGAAGGGAGCTACCATGAAGGACAATACTCTGGAAGGTTTAAATAAGACCTAATGCTTTGATTAAAAATAATATTTGTTAATAAAGAGACTGAGTTCTTCATGCAAAATTAAATGATGAAATGAAAGCATATTTGCACAAATTTTCAAAAACAGTAAGATTTTTCCTAAATGACTTGAATCAATGCAGGAAAATTTATTTTAAGCCATTAGAATTAACAAGAGAATATTTTAACAGAATCCTACTTAAATGGATTTACTTCTTGGCCTTCAGAGATGGAGAATGAGTAGCCCCTAGCCCCCAACACAACCATGTAAGACTTTTCATGTGATAGTTGGGTAAGCATGATTGTGTTTGAACCACTACCTTTGAAACTTTAAGAAAACATTTTTAAAAACTAAATTGACAGGCTCAGCAATGACAAAATCTAAACTCTATTTTGATAAAATTTTTGTTATACAAATTTATTACTCAACTGTCAAAAGAAAGCCAGCAATATTACTGGAGAAATTAAGTTTATAAATTATAAGATGTTGTATTTTCGTTTTAAATATGTTTTATGTTTGGGAGAAATATGTAATTACAGTAATACATGCTCACTTAAAAATATGTAGAGCTTATGCAGACCACATAATCACAAACACCAATTTAATTGATATAAAGTTGTAATTTGTGATTTTTATTTATTTAGTAACTTGTCCTTTCATTCAAACTAATTTATCTATATTTTAAAAAGCTTCAGATCTTGGATATCTGTACTAGCATATCTGAATTTTCCTGCAAATAATGAAAGTTCCTTTTCAGTGAACACTTCATATGTAATCAATTTGAAATAGTTTTTAAATATTCAAAGTGAGTAGAAAATAACTTTTAGGACATATTTACTCCAACTACAACTCCTATTCTTGGACTCACAATGTTCTCCTACCCATTTAGAAAGTTTTCCAAGATTTCTTCTGTAAAAATAGAAAACTTGAATAATAAAGGTAAAACAAGTTTATCTTTTGTGAGGAACTGTGATTTGAGAAAATCAAGCTCTTGATGTTTTCAAAGATTGTTTCCATGAACCCTAATAATATGGAATATTTGCTCAATTATATCTAAAGAACTTGTTTATTCTGCTTAAATCAGTTTGCTAAAATTCCTAAATTCACTTTTTTGAAGACTTAGGTCAAGTAGATAATTTAGAAGAGTTAAATCAAATAAACAAAATAATGTGACCAAAAAAAAAAAAAAAACCTCTCTGATGCTTAATTTATCAAATTAACCTGTTGAAATTTCTGGTCCTTAGAAAGTCATTAAAAGAGAAGGAGTAACAGTTTTCACTTTGCACTGGCCAAAGTCACTGTGGAGGTCATTTGTCTTCAAGCATCAAACACCTTCCTACATAAGCAAAGTAATGGTAGGAGGAGCTTTATATGAGAAATAAAAGTCACCCCCCCCAGAATAACAAGATAAACTATCAGAAACTTTTTTCTAGTTATCTGACACATGCCAACATTCCCAAATAGAAGCTACAATTTAAAGTCATGAACTGTACTTCTGATAAAGATGAAAAGTAAAAAGACCAAATAAATATCTTTCCATTTGAGGATAAAAGCTCAGCCAGATGCCTTCTGCTGGAAACTGTTACCATGCCATGGGGGAGCCCTGGTCTAGCTGAGCCAGGAGAGGCACTAAGGGCACATCTGTAGGAGGCTTGGCTGAACACTCCAGAGGCTCCTCATAGTGCTTATGGTCATCCCAAAGGTCCCTCATTTCTTCAGCTTCTTTCCTCCCACTTTTGTCCAACATGGCTTTGGCATTTCCCCCCAATTCCTACCTACTTTTTCACCCCCCCTCCCTTAAAAAGAGTTTCTAGAGCTGAAGTGATAGTGAGGCCTGGGGACAGGAACTGGTTAAGTCAGGAACAAGACAGTGTTCAACTGCAAAGGCCAAGTCAGCTTATTCAGTTTTCCCTCCCACCCTTTAGCACGCCACTGCTTTTATCACCAGTTTTTCAGGAGAAAAAGAATCCTAGGATTACTGGAAAAAGATGGTAATGATATCAATAGGCAATAGAAACAGTTAAGAGCAAACAAAGCTATCAAGTTCATTTCACTGATTTTTGACTAAAGTAAAATAGGGGAAAAAAATCAAGTGGTGGGTTGGGAGATAAAAAAAATGTTTGATCTACTGTCTTTTATAAGAAACTGGCAAATAAATGTAGAGGATTTGGGACCACTCAAACCTTTGCCACAAGCATGAAAACACAAGGTTATAGGAAGAAGAAATGAAGGCCACAAGAAGGTAGAAAAGCAAATTGCAATTCCCCTCCTGGGCCTCCAGTGGTCATGCTGATCAGTGGGCACTAGGAACATTTCTGCCACTTCACTCACCCTGTGTAAACCATTCTCCTCCCCTAGTGTGGGCCTCTTCCTCACCAAATATAGTGTCAATCTCATTGTTTAACTGTACAGTTTGCCTGTTATTTCCCAAGGTGTTTGGCTGTACTCCCGTCTCCAGAGAGCCTCTCCCCACCAGCTGTGTCAGCCTTTCTCTGCACCCTGGGTCTGTTTCTGTCTGGGGACTGGTCTCTTCTTGCTGGTTTTTTTCTCTCCAGGTCTCTGTATGTTTTTCTCTTTACATCCCCTGACCTACCTTCTTCTCACTGTCATTCCTTCCCACGCCCTTCTCTTGGAACAGGCAAACTTATCTCTCCATCTTACAGGGCTGAGTTTCTCTCCACTGTCTGCCTTAGTCCCTCTGCCTGTGTATCTGGCTTTCCCCCCACTGTGGGCCTCCCACTCCATGCTGGTGCTGGTCTCTCCATTGCAGGTGCACCTGTCTGGGAGTAGCTACTGAAACATGCAGGTTTTTTTTTTTTAATTTCTTTTACCTCTCTACATCTTAATTGCTGATACACACTTAACTATCAGTCATACTTGAGACTCTTTCTCCCTGGGATTTCATAGTGTGTAGGAAGGTATTTCTTTCTTTGTATGTGCACTCCTCTGTTCTGTCACTTTTCCTCAACCCCCCCCCCCCCACATATCCTGTTTTTCAACATATGCTTCTCTGGTGGGTAACATATGCATCCTGATGGATACATTCATGTGTCCACTCAATTCTTTGAGAGCCTTTCTTAGAGGATATTCATCTCTGAATCTCTCCTGCTCTGTTGACATATATCCTATCATGTGAAGTTCATATACGAGTTCATATACTTACCAAGGTGTGCATAACTGTGTGCTCCTCCTATGTGCATGTTAATGTAAGGAGACTAAACTGGCTCAGGTTCACACCTCTCCTGCCATTCTGCTTAGGACTCTGTATCTTCTTTGTATTTAAAATGCCTGGCACTAGTGGGAGCTCAACAGATGTGAATTCTTTTCTCCACTTTTATCTGAATAAGTATGAGAGTCTGTCTGGGTATCCCTCCGTTCCTCTCTGCGTTTTATGAGACCAGTTAGAGTGTGTTCCTTGGTATGGATTGAGCTATTTGTCAGTATGCCCCTGTGGGTTATATCTCCCTTTCTTCTCTCCAAATAAAATGTTACTGATATATAAATTATATCTTCCCCTCAGGCAATGCGTCCATTCTGGTCTCCCTCATTCCACAATACTTACTGCATGTCCATAAACAACTTCCCCATGCCCCTTGGTTGCCAGTGTCTCTTCTTGGTGCCCCTTTTTCCCACTTTTTTCAACATGAAAACGTTCCTGGATTTGTGCCCCAACTGCGGTATAAGTGCGTCTGAGTCTTTCCCTGTGCTGGAGATGTGTGCCCATGGTTTTCTCTCCGGAACGGGGGCGGTTAAGAGTCAGGAATCTCTGCCTGGCATGCAGTGTATCTTCCCACCATCAGGATCGCTCGTCGTCTAAGTCCGCGAGTTAACTCCAGACGCTGAGCGTCTTTCTGGTATGTTGAGCTTCCTCGCCTTTCTTTTCCCAGAACCTAAAATCATGTTCCCGGAGCTAGATATATGGGAGTTCTCATGTGTCTCCCTGGGACGCTGGGTCGGTTCGTGTTCGCCCCGGACGCGGTGCGTCTCCGCGAACGCATAGTATCTGTGTTCTAGAGCCCCTCAGAGAGCAAGATGTGTCCCTTTTAGCCCGTACTCTCAGCGGCTGTGTCCTAGCCCTTTCGAGTACACAGTGTGCCTACTTGCCAACCCCGCATACGTAAAACGTCTGTCTCTCCAAGTCTCTGGGAGTACAAGTTGTGTCCTACCCTTACAAGGAGCGCCTGTGTCCTGGTCTCTCGGGTCTACGGTGCCACGGTGTTATCCCGAAAAAGCGGACAGCTTGTGCCACGGGTCCCCCCTGGTTCTTTACTGGTGCGCTGTACGCGCGCCCCCTCCCCCGCTACAGGCAGCGTGGTCATTTCACGTCTCGCCCTGGGGCCTCTATCCCTCCTTGGGACCCAACAAGCCAGGAAACCCGCGGGCGCCGTCGGAAAGTCCCGCAGCGGCGGCGCAGCCAAG